TCTGCGATAAAGAAACAAATGCCTAAGTATGCAGTGTTGATGTCTTTCCACTCTGCCTAAATAAATAATTAAATAAATAAATAAATAAATAAATAAATAAAATCTAGTTTTTTAATGACCAAAACATTGCCCCCACTAAACATTTTTTGATGCTCTAAGTACAACGCCCCTTACTTTCATTTTTTTCTATAAATATTAAAAACTTCTGAAAATAATATGAAATAATTTTGAATAAAAGTTAAATCTAAATGTAAATTCTCTCACTGTGGTTATTATTTCATGTAGTATCTCGGGTCCATCATGCTTATAAGACTGATGCTGACATTTGAGCCAACCATTTATTGCAGAGTCAGCAGTTTATTTGTTTTTTTTTACACAGCCTGTTATCGCGATGACGATAAATTTGTGAAATATTGTGCAGCCCTGCAAGATACATGACTTCACTGCACCGCAGAGGCTCGTTTGAGCTGGAAGCAAAATGTTGCACCTTTCACAACATGATCAAACAGCAAAAGCTGATCCATCAATCTGTCCATTAATCCTGATCAACTTGCATCAGGAAAACCTGGAAAAGAGGAAAGCTCTGATGGTCCAGACCCCATCACACAACAAGTAAAGCTCATAAAAGAGGTTTCAATAAAAAAGTACAATAAAATGAGTGCAGTTTTGATCTATATCAGCTCTTTTTATGTTGTATTAGTAGATCTACTCTTACTTGCAGTATTGAAATGAAACACATTAGTTGCAAGATCACACAAGAACAATTTTAGGCCCTCTCTCTCCTTCTACTTTCTGTTGAAGTAAACGAAGAATGGCAAAAATGCAAAGGAAAAAAATGCATCACTATTGAAGCAACAGTAGCTTATCTGCTCTCAGGATCCTCCGGTCACCACTAAACAGCGGAAACATTTAACTTTCCTCTGATCTCTATCTCAGAAGCAAAGCTGCTGTTTTGAATCGCGGTGAAGACAGAAGGACTCTTCTTTGGCTTTGGCCAGCCCACAAAACGAAAACGCACACACAAACAGACCAACCACGATGACGTTACCTCACCATAATGCACTTATAAGGCCAGGGTCTTATGCCTAGTTTTATAAAACTGTTTTATTACATAAACACCAGTAAAAAGTAGCACACAAAAACACAATCAACAATAGGAAAAAAATCAAGTTGAATCTCCTAAAATAGCAGCAGCATACCATTTATCTTTCCATCTGAGGACTAGAAAAGCTACTTCACATTTTCTGTTAATGAAAGCTGCAAAGTAGAACTAAATGGGCAGATTGTTGAGCAAAACTCATGGCTCTCAAATGACTGGACCCCAGGTCATTTCTTCCACCTAAAAGAAGAACAAAAGGATAATTTGTGTGACTGTTTAGCTGTTAAAGCAGAATCTGTCCAAATAAACAAGTTTGGACCCACTTTTGAGCTCTCCTGAACACACAAGCAAGCAATAATCTACAAGCCAAAAGTGACCTGTGATCTTTTTACTTGCCCCTCATATTCCAAAATAAACATAAACAATTAAGTAAACAAACACAAAGAAATGACTAATTTGTGAAAAGGCAGTGTGACTACTAAGGGCTGAATGATTTCTGCAATTTGCTAAAGAGGCCAAAGTTGAACTGTTTAAGTTAAAACAAACAGAACAGTAGCTAAAATTAGCAAAACAGATGCTAAAGAAAAAGCTGTGAAACAGAAACGTACAAAAACGTTGCTGAGGTAAGAAAAACGTGCTAAACCTAAAATCAACAAAACGTGCAAACATTTGCAAAACTCTAACTATAAGCTGAAAGAAACAAATAAGTACTGTAGCTACAATTTAAAAGCAGAAAAACTAAAAACCAAGACCAGCAGAACAGTGGTTTCATACTAAAAGTTTTCAAAATAGTAGCTAAAAGCTAAAAGTGGCTAAAATACCAGCAGGTGAAAGATAAAGTACCGTAAAAACACACAAACAGAGCAGTTACTGAGACGGATTTCAAAGTGAACAGTGGTTTTGAATAAAGTAAAGAGATTTTAACGTTTTTCTGAGGGGAATTTAATTTTATTAAAGTTTAATATTTTAAACATAATAAGATGCAACTAAAAACCAGAGAACACTATTCATTATTGAGGAAGAAAAGTGGATGGATGGATGGATGGATGGATGGATGGATGGATGGATGGATGGATGGATGGATGGATGGATGAACTGATGGATGGATGAACTGATGGATGGATGAACTGATGGATGGATGGATGGATGGATGGATGGATGAAC